TTTAGTCGGATTAAAATTAATCATGATTAACTGTAATCAGATTGAATTTAATCGAATTAACTAACTAATTAAAACATCAATCGATTAATGCAAACATTGATTTCACATACACATCACTATACCAAGTTTCAGTTCTCTCCCACAAATACTTCCAGAGATATGTATGTAATATGAAAATTCCAATTTGTATGGGAGGAGCCTTGAGTTATCGGACTTACTTTCAGTCTAAGACCATCCTTCCGAAATCCGTAGTAAGTGTACTAAATTTCGTTCTGATCGGAAAACCGGTTAAGGAAGTAGCCTATTTTTCAGTCCAGGTCATAAACCATCTTTGAGCAAAATTTAATTTTCAAACAGGTGGCAATTCTTAAAAATGTAGCCTATTTTCCAGTCAAGCTCATAAGCTATCTGTGTGCGTACTTTCATGCAAATCAGTTCAGTCATTTCCACGTATTAATTTAATTAGAGTTTCCTAATACGTGATAACTCTTAAAATAGTAGCCTATTTTCCAACATAGGTCATAAGCTATCTCGTGCGAAATGTCATGCAAATCTGTTCAGTCGTTGCCGCATATTAATTTAATGAAAACTTTTTTAACAGGTGGCAACTCTTCCAAAAAATTTGCCTATTGATGCAAATCCGTTCAGTCTTTTCCGTGTATTAATTTAATTAAAATTTTTTAGCAGGTGGTAACTCTTAAAAAAGTAGCCTATTTTTCACCCTAGCTCATAAGCTATCTGTGTGAAAACTTCCATGCAAATCAGTTAACTCGTTTCCGCGTATTAATTAAATTAAACATTTCTAACAGGTGGCAACGCTTAAAAAAAAGTAGCCTACTTTCTAACCTAAGTCATAAGCTATCCATGTGCAAAATTTCATGCAAATCCGTTTAGTCGTTTCCGCGTATTAATTTAATTAAACTTTTTTAACAGGTGGCAACTCTTCCAAAAAATTAGCCTATTTTCCACTGTAGGCCATAAGCTTTCTGCTTGCAAAATTTCATGCAAATCCATTCAGTCATTTCCGCGTATTAATCTAATGAAACTTTTGTAACAGGTGGCAACTCTTAAGAAAAGTAGCCTATTTTCCAATCTGGGTCATAAGCTATCTGTGTGCAAATGTTCATGCAAATCCATTCAGTCGTTCCCGCATATTAAATAAATGAAACTTTTTTAACAGGTGGCAACTCTTAAAAAAATAGCCTAATAACCAATCTGGCCTATAAGCTATCTGTGTACAAATATAGAAGAGAGAAAGGCCGACGTATTGTCCAATGTCTTAAATAAATTGGATTTACTTCTAGTTACAAAGGTAATTGGTCTCGGAGTGATCGTAGAAATATAGATATTTGAGCTTTACGGTATGTTGCCAATGAATTATGAACGGTACTCAGACGTTTATATTTTGACGTTTAACTGATTTTTTGAACTTTAATATTTCTTTTATAAAAATATAGTAAATCCAATAACATATACCACATCTATCGTTGCTTTAAACTCTGTGCGAAAGTCGCGAAAAATCAACAAATTACGAAAAGCTGTGATCAAAATTTAAAAGCTTTTAACAGAATTTTTAGAAAATGTTTACGTACGTAGATATATAGCCTTCAATTTCAGTTCCATAAAATGCAAGTTTGAAGTCGGTCGAAATCCGCGTTTGATTTTTCGAAAATATCTTTGGTTTAAGGTGTAATGCATTTTCTTCAACATAAAAAAATGCCGACATACTTTACGTGGAAGAAAATGCAGAACACCTTCTACCAAAAAAAAATTCAAAAAATTAACCGCGAATTTTGACCGACTTCAAACTTGCACTTTATAGTACTAAAATTTAAGGCTATATATATGCGTAGTAAAAGCATTTTTTAAAAATTCTGATAAGTTTTAAATTTTGATGAGTTTTTCGTAATTAGCCGATTTTTCGCGAATTCTCCACAAAGTTTGAAGCTACGATATATGTGGTCTATGTTATTGAATTTACTATATTTTTATTTAAAAATATGAAAGTTAAAAAATCAGTTAAACGTAAAAATGTAAACATCTGTGTACCGTTTGTAATTCAATGGTCATATACTATAGGTTTAGTTTTCCAAGCTGTAGAACAGCGCGTTGTTTTTTACTTATGTAAATAAATTTGGTATTTAAGCTTTAGGTTAAGTTTTCAAGCTGTGGTACAGAATTTTATTGTTTTTATTTATGGTTAATTTAAATTAATAAGATATTTAAGCTGTAGGTTAAGTTTTCGAGCTGTAGAACAGCGTTTTATTGTTTTTACTCATTTCTAATGTAAATAAATTAGGTATTTAAGCTGTAGCGTAAGTGTACATGTTGTAGAACAGCGTTTTAATTTTTAACTTTTTATTAATATAACTAAATTAGGTATTTAAGTTGTAGGTTAAGTATTTCAAGAACAGCGTCTTAATTTTTTAAATTTAATGAATTTTGGACTGAAATATGCATATATAGAAAATACTTAATATAAAGAAAATAAACGAATACGCAATTGTTTTTTAAATTTGAGTAAGCGTTAATTGCATTATTTAAAAAATAATAATAATAAATGCTTAAATTAAAGGATGTAATTAAGTTAGTTGCATTTTGACCAGTTTTGCCTGTTTTTATATTGTTTATAATGTTTATTTTTTTATAAAATTCTAGCGCATTATATAACAAGCATAGTATAAACCCACATTTCACACTTTGTACAAAATTTGTAAAAATTGAATTCAAATTAAATTGTTTTAGACCATTGAATTTAGTAGGACTAATAGCAAGTTTCAAAACGCTTGAATTTTTAATATTGTTATTTTTGCTGACGGTGCTAGGTATTTTCTTCCACGTAAAGTATGTTCGAAACGACTATTATATAGAAGAAAATACCTGGCACCGTCAACAAAAAAATATTTAACATCAAGGCAAAGTTTTAGATATTTTGGGAAATTGGTAAATCTCTTTGGTTTTTTTAATTTTTGTACAAAGTGTGAAATGTGGATTTATACGATGCTGGTTATATAAGGCGCTAGACTTAATAAACAAAACTGGTAAACATGTAACTAACTGAATAAGCTCATGACAAATACATACATTGTACATGCATGTAAATGTGAGCAAACCACAAATCTCAGTAATTAAAATAGTTATTTACAATTTGTTGTCTTGCAGCAATACCATGATGAGTACTAGTTATTTCATCAACTAAATTAAACTCTTCATCAAAACTTATGTTATCATAATCCTCAATTTCATACCTTATATTATTTAATATCATGATATTGTGCAAAATTGTACAAGCATTTATAATTTTTCCGGCTAAAACTGGGTCATACATAAGCACTCTATCTTTTGACAGGCATCGAAATCTAGATTTCAGCACTCCAAAGCAGCGTTCTACACAGTTTCTTGCTTTCCGGTGATGTCTGTTGTAATTAAGTTCAGAATCTGAGAGATTGTTTCCCGGAATAGGAGTCATTAAGTAAGGTAATTGAGGATATCCACTGGCACCTAAACATGTGAAAAGGAAAATTATGCTACATAAATAATATACATATGTATGTATACAAATTGAGTAAAATATACCTAAAAGCCAAAAATTTCGTTCTCCATTGGAGTACATATTGTCAAGAAAAACCTTCAAAGCACTTGCTCTCCAAACTGATGCATCGTGAGCAGTTCCGCCGAAACGAGCATTACAGTCAAGTATTCTTAAATCCATGTCACATACCCTCAAGTGATGA